ATGAGTTGGCAACCTTTCTGTGTTAACACCGATGAGTTGGCAACCTTTCTGTGTTAACACCGATGAGCTGGCAACCTTTCTGTGCTAACATTGATGAGTTGGCAACCTCTGTGTTTACACTGATGAGTTGGCAACCTCTGTGTTAACACTGATGAGTTGGCAACCTTTCTGTGTTAACACAGATGTGTTGGCAACCTTTCTGTGCTAACATTGATGAGTTGGTGTGAACTATACACAAGGAGGAAGACAGGACATAAGTCTGCTGGCACGAACTACACACAAGGAGGAAGACATGACATGAGTCTGCTGGCACGAACTATACACAAGGAGGAAGACATGACATGAGTCTGCTGGCACGAACTATACACAAGGAGGAAGACATGAATGAGTCTGCTGGCACGAACTATACACAAGGAGGAAGACATGAATGAGTCTGCTGGCACGAACTATACACAAGGAGGAAGACATGACATGAGTCTGCTGGCACGAACTATACACAAGGAGGAAGACATGACATGAGTCTGCTGGCACGAACTATACACAAGGAGGAAGACAGGACATGAGTCTGCTGGCACGAACTATACACAAGGAGGTAGATAAGACATGAGTCTGCTGGCACGAACTATACACAAGGAGGAAGACAGGACATGAGTCTGCTGGCACGAACTATACACAAGGAGGAAGATAAGACATGAGTCTGCTGGCACGAACTATACACAAGGAGGAAGACAGGACATGAGTCTGCTGGCACGAAGTATACACAAGGAGGAAGACATGAATGAGTCTGCTGGCACGAAGTATACACAAGGGGGAAGACATGAATGAGTCTGCTGGAACGAACTATACACAAGGAGGAAGATAAGACATGAGTCTGCTGGCACGAAGTATACACAAGGAGGAAGACATGAATGAGTCTGCTGGCACGAACTATACACAAGGAGGAAGATAAGACATGAGTCTGCTGGCACGAACTATACACAAGGAGGAAGATAAGACATGAGTCTGCTGGCACGAAGTATACACAAGGAGGAAGATGAGACAATGAGGGGGAAACTTTATATAAAAATTAAGTCTACTGTTATATAAAGAACATATATTTAAAACTATTAATGAGAGTGTATAATCTTACCCATCAGTTGACCCCCAGAAGGGTGGCCCTCTGGGCATAGGTTCTCCGGTGACCCAGGTCCACACGCCCTCCACAGCCTCGTCCGTCCCTCCCACCCACACGCCAACTGCTGCATTTTCTTTATCTGTAAAATGTAACGCTGTAGCTGTGTATTTTGTAACATTTCACATTAGTTATGTGAAGCTTCGAAGCCCTTTGCTCTTTGTACCTTGCTACCTCTGAGTACTGTCTGTGTGAAGGCAATGACTGACTGCATAATGTATTTACCCGTCAGAACCTACAGTTTGCGGCCGTTGAAGCAAAACCACAAACAGTGGGCATGCCAACGGCCTACCAACTTTTTCTGATGCTACAATACTTCAGGCAGTATTTTATATTATGGATTTGATGAATTTATTTTTCTGAATACACTTTCCTACTTATAATTCGTTGCTATATAGCTTTCTTAATTTCTTCATATAGCATTGTTGTATGACACTGAATGTCGCTGGTAATTATGGTTTTAGCCTCAGTTATAATTTTGTTTAACGAGTTAGGATTGGTGTCTGCATCATAACAGAGTATCGAGTTGTAACTGTGGGGAGGATTTTTTGGATAGATTGCTTGTGCAGACGATGAGTCACAATAACGGGTCTGTGAATATAATGGCCAACCATACAAAAGAAAGTGGTTGGGCACTTAATAATGCAGCGCCTCCCAGTCTTGACCTAGCTGTCTGTGTGTCCAGACCGGTGGGTGCAGCCCTCCGGCCGTCAGGTGGCGTCATTGTCAGCCACTTTTCCCTGTCCAGCTCTTGGAGACTATTGGATTGGAATTCTCTGGACGGACGTCGTACCCGTCAGTGGAGGTAGTGGTACTGGATATGCTGCGAGTTAAGATAGCAGACGTCTGTGGAGTTCAGCTCTTAACGACTCACCGGGCGCTAGTTAAGCTCGGCTCTCTGGCCGTTTATAAGGATTTAGTGACCTATTACGATGGTCGGGCGTTCCCGCTCCCTTTGTTGGAAATTATCCAACCATTATACATCTCTTGTATTTTTATGCAACCTTTGTATTGACCGCAAGTAGTTACTAAAATCACAAACTTGTAGATTTAATCATCCTCATGATTTATATTAAATATATTGCCAGATTATGTCTAGTCAGAGTGACGACGCGAGGAACGACAGGCAGAAACATGAATTCCTTCCACATTTAGTTGGGTTTATAACAGAGTCCAGTTTATCATTCCTTTTACTAAAAATAGTTACTTACTAATAAATTTAATTTGCGTAGCATAATAGTGATTACTGGAACTCCCTTATTTAGCTGATATTAAACATTCTAGTGGAAATTATTTTAATGTAAATGATTTCACTTTAATTTCCTCATTTAGCTGCATAACTTTAATGAACCAATTTATGTTGCTCGAAGTTATATTTTAAAATGAAAGAATTAAACGTGACATCAATACTCGTCACAATCTCTTCTTTCCTTAGTTAATTCCGATATATATATAAATCCATTTACGCTCAAGATGTCTATCTAGAGCCGTGCATGCGCAATCAGGAGGAGGAAGAAGACGCGAGAACGTGCCAGCCACCATGTGACTCGGACGCCAGTAGCAGCGTGCAACAGAGAGCTACGTTTCGATCTTGCTTATTTCGCTCCCACGACCAGTAGAGCGGTGCCACGTCATTTGGTACATCACAGCCGTGTCCCAGAACTAGTATAACTGCAATACCACTGTCAACGCCTTTCAAGCAGCAGCTGGAGGACGAGGGATTGCCCAGTTCTGTCCATCAACGGACACGCAGCTCGGCAACCATTATTCCTTTCTGTTATCATGTGGCCACAGTTAACATTTAGGCTAGTTGTCGTTAGGCCGTATATAAAATAACAATATCCCGAACGTGTTCTCTCTAACAGTTTTATAATCTATATAGGCGATTATATTCATTATTTCTGTAGAAGAATTTTACAGTGCTTGAACATATATATATCAATTATTTTCATATAGGAAGAATTCCTAAATTTAGGATGTACTTGTAGTTCGTTATATAGAAGATTTCTACAATGTAAATGCTTTCCAGTTCCGGGTCCACATCAACCGAGGTGATAGGCTTCCCTACCTACATGTGCAACTATTTGCTCGATGTAACACGTCGTCGATGGAGTGTGGCAACCAATTACACCTCTCTAGTTTTACAGCTAAGCTGGTCATATTCATCCGTAGTAACAACTCTGTAGTTATATTAGTGATCTCCTGAGGAGATCAATTATACTAACCCTTTGATTTACCATATACTGTACTATTGAATATTACAGTAGTATATTGAGGTGCATTTACCTCTAATTATTATTATATAATCAACTTTATTTTCTTTCATATTGTATTTACTCTGGTGAAGAACCAGCACCAGAATAATGCTAGGGATGCACTAAATTTTAAGCATGTAACCCCCATTTTGAGTGAGTGAATTTGACTCATAATACAGTCCCTTTAATATTCAATGTAATATTAATTTAAACATCCATAGGACACTAGTTCATGGAGTAAAATATTTTAACCACTTGCTCTACCCTTGTTTTCTACTTTTTCTCAAAAAGTGGAAAAAAGTGATCCTTCGTAGCTATTGAAATAGTATCAATTTATGATTTACATGAGTCAAGTTTGCCCACACAAATTTTGGTCCTTCGAACCGGATATACCAATAATTATCTAGGGTCCAGTATATTCACCCAAATTACTGGCCCCATTTAAGTACTTATTTAGTAACACCAACTAGTGTGTTAACATTATTAGGCTATACACATATATTTCATTTACAGCTGTCAGCAGACTGTCCATATCATAGCCTAAACCACATTAAACCTATGAGAACTGATTCACCTAAGTCAGTAAATTTATTAACATTTCAGGGTCCTGTTTACTAACCCAAGTTACTGATCCCATAAATTAATTAATCATTACTAACCCTGATAACATTATATTCCTTAATTAGGAAGTTCTGTCAGGTTTTAAACATTATTTACAGCAGTAGAATACTTGCCAAACACAATTAATAATCTTGAGTTCATTAAATTTCTCATACATGTATTTCTTACAAGTGTATATTATATAACATCACAAAAATTTCCCAAAACACAGCACTATTTTACACATTATTGCACCACATTTATTGTAGTTATGGCAACCCAACAGAGGTAGGATATATTTAGACTAATTGTACTAATGTTTGTACAAATGCAGCCTAAACTATTTAGTCATTCCTAAGTAGGAATTATTTAGCGAGTACTGTACTAGACAGTGCTGGTGTACATACATAATATTCAGATTTGTGCTGACCCTAATTTAGGGTGGGATCCACAAAACATTTATTGTGTATTTATCATATTATTTCGTGTATTTTTTTTAGTGTTACTGGATGTTCACTGTTGGATTTCACTGTTGGATCGAATGGTGATAATTGAGGAGCTCACCGGTCGAAATTCCAACAGTGACATTTTAGTACTACTCAAATATTAGTTACTTATTATTAGGTAGTTAGCTAACCTCCAAACGAGGTAAATTACAATCAGCCTAACCAAGAAAATATTAGGCTGTTAATAACCATACCTGCTCTACACCTAAGAGCATGTATCATAGCTGTCTAAGTAGCTATATAAGCTCCATAAAGTTTCAACCCATAGTCAATATGACTACACTAGATAAAACTAAAATACGATTGAAAGGCCTACAATGTCACTTGACAGAGTTAATCAACCAATGTGACAACTGGGTGGAAACAGAGCCAGTTGATCTCATATCGCTGGAAATCTCAGCAAAGATAGCTAACCAGCAATTTAAGCACATACAAGAAATTATTGACCTGTACATAAGTACAATCTGTACCAGTGATATTGATCTAGATGACATTGATCTAATCATGTCTGACCTAGCCGACTTTGAAGACAAAATTCAGGCCAGGTTGATTTACTATAAAAAAATGCTTGCAACACAAAATGTTCCTGCTGGATCAGGACATATATATGGTACACCTATACCCAAGCAAGCACTCAGATCAGATGAAGTACATGAGCTATCTCAAAATGAGGAGATTCCGCTAATCATATCTGACCCTTACACAGGATCAACAACTGAAGTTCAATCTTCATTTTCTACTGTTTCATCTAACACAACTCACATAATAATACCTTAACAGAATCAGAACCACTTTCAGAGAGCTCATCTCTATATTCCCTGAATTCTATAAGTGCAATACATGAGGCTACTGAATTAATAAGCCTCCCACATGAACCCAGAAAGCCAAGTGGAAGCTGAGATGAACAGACTGTTGGGTCAATGTCTGAAGAGATAACAACCTCTGAAGGCCTTGGCATGCTGTGGAAAGGGAGTGGGAGTCCCTGTGCTATGAATGATATACTTGAGTACTGTAAGATCTCTTATTGATTATGCTGCACATGTCATTTCTTGTTTTGGTAAAGGTAGGATGGGCAATGTAGAGAAGGTACAAAATGAAGCCATGAGAATTATCTTAGGATGCCCAAGAAATGCTATGATTGAGATAATGAGGATGGAGTTGAATCTGCAGAGTATTGGAGATAGAATTGTAGAGATAAATGTAGCCTCTGCCATTAGATTAATGAGAGGTGGGGGAGCTAATGAATAAATCCTCTCAGTTCAAAAGGTGGGAAGTAGTGAACAGTGTATGAAGAAGAGAGTATATATGAATAACTTATGTTCTAATGTTATAAAGTATGATGTTATTACAGAGTGTATTGCTGTGCCAGTAGTATATTCTGAGCCAGATAGGGGCACTTAACAAACAATGGGGGGTACTTATCAGACAATGGAATCAGAGGCGGGGAGCCAGATAGGCCCACTTTTCTGACAAAGGAATCAGAGGCGGGGTGACAGATAGACCCACCTCAAATTGTAGTCTACGGTGTGCCCCCACCACATTTCACTTACACTGAGTATCTCGGTTTAAACACTACCTCATTATATATTCGAACAAGTCTTAATGGTCCCTCCCTTATATGGGAGTATTTAAAGGAGTATTAAATTATAAATCCTCCCCCTCCCCCAAAGGTTAAAAAAAACATCAAATAATTTATTAAATGCTTTATTAGGTAAAAACCA